CAGGTTTTTTATTGGAGTAAATATGTTTGAACTAACTAGAAATGTGCAGGAAAAAAAGAAAAAATGCACAAAAAGTGTTTTTCATTTTTCTCATGGTTTTTGGAAAACAAAGGGGAGGGTGGATTCTCAGTTCCTTTTTTCCAAGTCTTCACATCTCTAAAGTTGGCTACGTAAACATTAACTAGGGTGAAAAAATTACCCTAAATATAGAATACAGATGCAACTCTGAACAAAAGCATTTCTTTCCAGCCCTTCACTCTAAGAATTCACTTGCTGCCTGCCTGTTTGTAGGCAGGAAAAGAAAACATTGGGCCTTGTCGGCTCAAACCCTGGACTCACCAGCTACCATTGATGAGACAACTCTGAAGCTGTTGTTTAGCTGCAAAGATACATCATGCATCTTCAGATCATGGGGCCATGTTTGCCTGGCTTAAACCCATTGTTGGAGCTCAGGTGGCGGGGGATGCCCTTCAAAAGATGACCCCAATTCTTCATATTATGGGAGAGGGAGATAAATATCCCCATGTGCACATTCTGCACACCACATAATTTTGGACACCTCTCCCCTTACTTGCATTTTGTACAAGCTAAACAATCTGTTGTTGAACCTGTTCCTCACAGGGAAGTTGTTCCTACTTTGTGATCATGTTATGGTTCTTCCAATGTTATACTGAGAGGAGAGAAGCTATTATCCTCTTTAGGCACAAGTTTAAGCCTGGGCAGATTTATGAGGACTGGTCGGTTTCAGTTGGAGAAGACGTCTAGTTCACCAGTAGCAACGAAGTCCCTCATTAAAATTACATCAGCTTAATAATTTGATCCTGAGAATGGACACCTTTTGATAGCTCCCAATGGAAATGGAAAGAAACTGCTAAGTGTTTTGGCTTGGGCCAAATGAATCACATGGAGGAAGAACAGGTTTTTTATTGCAATAAATATGCTTGAACTAACTAGAATGTGCAGGAAAAAGAAAAAATGCACAAAAAGTGTTTTTCATTTTTCCCATGGTTTTTTGGAAAACAAAAAAGCGGGGGTGGATTCTCAGTTCCTTTTTTCCAAGTCTTCACATCTCTAAAGTTGGCTACGTAAACATTAACTAGGGTGAAAAAATTACCCTAAATATAGAATATAGATGCAACTCTGAACATAAGCATTTCTTTCCAGCCCTTCACTCTAAGAATTCACTTGCTGCCTGCCTATTTGTAGGCAGGAAAAGAAAACATTGGGCCTTGTATATATTAATGTGGGCTCAAACCCTGGTCTTTCAGACACAGGTCTTCTTAGATGCATTCTTGCCAATCATCTGGTGCATGCTGCTTCGCTGTGCCTTGGAGACTGACCACTGACTTTTGCAGTCGTTCTTGTGTACTTCCCTACACAGCAGGGCCAGTACTGCCACAGGCCAGAGTGAAACAGGACCCTCAGGCAGTTACTGCTTTGGAGTGTCACCAAAGAGCAGACACTCTCTTATAGTTATATGGGCCATAATCCTACCGCCTCCCAGCATCATCTGGGAATATCTGGAGTCACAGCTCCAAGGTCCTGCAACCTCTGTGCTGGCACTCTGACGCCTGCCCCGGTGCCCCAGCACCTCACAGCCTCAGATAGGAGGAAAGTGGTGTGGCAGGCAGGCGAGAGGGCAGGGCCGATGGATTATGCCATGTCCGGATGGCACCACTCGGCGGACTTCATTGGACAGCCAGAAATAGGCAGCGGGATGAACCGCAGGAAGTGAGGCATGGCGGTAGTGGTGACAGCTGCCATAGCACCTCCTCTGTGCATTGTACGCACGGAGGACTCCACGTCTGGAGGCCGTGTTGCTCTTGCATTCCTACAGCCAGGGACAGACAGGCGCATTGAGAACAGAATAACATGGCTGGCCTGGGATCCCGTCTCCCATGATTGCTGCTGCTGCTCCTCAGGCAGCACAAGAAGTGTGGCTGGCCCTGCTGCGCAGCATGCTCAGAGGGCACGATTGAGCATTACTCACCAGAACAGAAAGCGGAAATGTTGCCCACGCTGCTTTGGACAACAATACGTTCCAGCTATCTCATGCACTGATGTGACACCCTGATGTGCGATCTAAGAGGCTGCCTTGCTTAAGGGGGGGGGGGGGTAGACACACAGAAAGCCCTCCACATGTTGTTGGCCTGCAACTTCCAACAGTCCTAATCAATATGGTCACATGTGAGGGATGATGGGATTTGCAGGTTAGCAGCCTCTGGGAGGTCGCATGTTCCCCACCTCCAGCATGAGGCAGTCCCCAGCTCGTTTCTTTTCTTTTTTTAAAAAAGATTTTATTAAGATTTTAAATTAATATTAAAGACATCAATCATCAAATACATCAGACTTACTGGGTCAGCCCCCTACCACATATCTTTTAACATTCTTTAGTCATATTCAAATCCATTTTTAATAACTTAAAAACATCTTTAAATCTGAGCCAAGTCCCGTTTCTCCAGCCAATAATAAAAAAAATCCCATGTTTGATAGAAGTCCCAGCTGGTTTCTGTGGTTTAGAGTACTTGGGTGAGTAAAGTGCATCCATGAGTCTCTCTCTCCATTTTGACCACTCTGGGACAGCAGCATCTCATGTGACCTTTAAACAATCAAGTGCTGTCTCCAACTTCCTGATGATGATCCTTCATAGCTCCTGCATTCATTCTACTGATTGCATCTTCCATCTCTCTAATTCTTTTGTTTGGCAGAGAGTCTTGCAGCCTATAAGATATAATAAAGGGGGAAACGTGGCAGATTAGGGGAAATTGATGGGGCAGAGCTCGTTGAAACACACATCCAAAGCATTAGCACCAATCTGGGGAGGGAAAGCTCCTCACTCTTGCAGTGTGCTCACGTGCCACCAGCTCTGTTCCTTTTTAAGTCTAATCATACCATGGACACTAACAGCAGCTGTCCACAGGGTGGGGATGGCACGTGGGTGAAGGAGCCAAACCGCTCCCCATGCCCACTCCATGACCTCTCTCACCCTCAGAAGCTATTAGCTCAGCTAACCCCTCCCTTAGTCCCAAAGCCCCCATTGAAATCCACGCCACCAGCAAAGTGCTTTTAGCCCAGAAAAAAAGTGTCAGCAGATCTCCCTGAGGTTCTCCCACATCTTGTGGTTTCTTCATGAGCTCTCTCCATCAGCTCTGCCTATCTTTGGGAGCTCAAAGATAGGCAAAGAAGGAGGGGCTCCATGGTGACAGAAGCAGAGACAGGACCTGGTGAACCACTGAGGGCACCTCTTCTGCCCACATGCTGCCAACCAGACAAAAGGCACCAGAAGGGAATTGAAGGTGTCTTCTAATGTATCTCCAGGAGAGGAAGCTAAATAGTAATGAATGCTATGTACATCTAAAGGAGAATTGTTGCCTAAAAAGTTTACCTTGTGGACGCATATGTAAGATGCTTGTTCTTTCTTAAAAGTTCCTGGTTTTTCTGAATATGTTTGAGAATCGTTTCAGAAAGAAACTAATTCGTAACCTCCCAATAGATGGGCATGTGAGTGGGATTTGGAGATAAAAATGGGTCAGTGGAGAATATAATTGCCATTTGCAAGCACCATGGTCCCTATCCAAATCATGCCTGAGTGTCCCTCCACAGTAGGACTCTATCATTTATGGGCTTGCTATAAATGATTATGTTGGATATACCTGACTGGCCCACATTAAGCCGGGGCAGGGGGTTCATGTCCCTAAGTTTATCAGTGTAACCAGAGCCTCCACACAGTTAGGGATCAAGAGGAATCCCTCTCCTGAGCCTCCACCCCCACCCCACCAAACCTCAGGCAGCCCAGCCTCCCAAGTAAGTGCTGAATCCACCTGAATTCAAATGTGCCAGCTAGCATTCACGGTGAGAGTTTCAACCCGATAAGCAGCTGTCATTGCTGCCTGGTCGGCCAGGTTATAAAGTGGACTCTACCATGTGCTCAGGGTTAGTTACCATTTCATTGTGATTGGACTTCATTCTTGAGAATAAAAATAGTTTTCCTTTTCTCTCACTCCAGACATGTTTAATTGGGCAAATTGTGCCAAAGTCAGACACATTTTGTCCAACAATTATAAGAAGTTTGCTTGGCCCGCAATTGATGGTGTGATTTACTCAGCAAATCTTTTCCATTCTGTGATTGTACTGGAGGAAAATAGCGCACACAGTCTGAGGAATGCTCTTCATAAGGCCCATTGCCACAGGTATTTTAAGCACTCGGCTGTGTGCATTCTCAATAACATCTCCTTCAGTCCATTGTGCAGTCCAGGGCACACTTTGAATTTTTTTTATGTTCATTTCTGTATGCCAGGCTGAGAAACCATGACAACCGCTTGCCAGACTCTGAGCAGTACTTTTTAAAAATCCCCTTATGCCAGGCATTGGAATCTCTGTTATCGCAAGTGAAATATCTGAAGATAGGAATTATTTGCTCAGGGCTAAAACCTGCCAGACCTAGAAATTCACACCAAGCAGCTGGTCTTCCAATTCTGACAGGAAAACCAACTACACCCATCTATGAATGGCATTAAATAGACTGCATGTTCACCTTCCTCTTGAAAATCGAAACACGCACTCACCTAGGGCAGGCCCCCACATTTGCAGGGGTTGGGGCACAGGACCCTCATAAAAGTGGACAAACCCTTTGCTTCGTCCAAAGTCTGAAATGTCGGAGAGAATTTCCTCTCTGGATGGGCAGGCCAGAAAGGCCTGCTTTGGAGGCCTCCTTTTCTCCCCTTTCACTTCCTGTCTCTCTATGGTGATGATTTCCTATCATTCCTATCGAGCCTTTAACTCGAATTTTTAAATTAATTGGCTTTGTGGCAGTTTGTTATGGGTAAGTATAGGTTCTTCATAACCCAGATGTTCACAACCTGGGACTGCTTGTAATGATGATGCTCTCAAATAGCAGACCACAGGCTGCAGGGGTGTGAGTTCCTTTGTGGTTTTGCAGTGCCTATGGTATTTTAGGAACAATGAAAAGAGCACTCTTTCACACAGCCTTTGAATTTTCACTTAGTGGACTACTATTTTACGCTCCCTGAGACATCTGGATTTTTCAGAGTTGTGAGTGCAAGGTAAGCACTTTAAAATGTATTTAACTTTGGTAGTTTGTCTTGCCAAAGCAACCAGGCAGAATAAATAAAATGGCTGTTTCAGGATTAAATAAATGCCGAGGACCTGAAACTTGGAAAACAGGTAGATTACTAACATAGGAACTATTCCTTTCAGAAAGGAAAGGCACCTCCTGATCTTAAATGAATACTAGAAAACTGAGATAAGCCATAAGCAAGACTGAATTAATCATGTTGAATTTACTCAGCTATCTCTTCTGATGCTCATGGGGGAGTTGAATTGCCTGTACTTTATTAGAGGGAAAGTGAGTAACAGAATGGGAGCCAAAGGAAATGAGTTAGAGGAGAAAGAGATTCTGTTATGAACTGTCATTCATCTGTGAATTTATTTATTTATTTAAAACGTTTATGTTTCTGCCATTCATATTTTTTTTAAAAGCCTCTCCTTGGATTCCCTAATATCTGTGGATATTCACATTTAAGTAATGCTGAATGCTCATTGTTGATTTATCAGCGTTCTCAACTGAGCAAAGGCTTCCAAATGTGTTCAGCAATTCAAGCCTTCAGACTCAGTTTTAGCCCTTGTGCGTTCAACCAAGCACCTAAACAGAGCTTCTCTGTCTGTTTCAATTCGTGCAAGGGCTTGATGCACATTGTAAACTAACATGATTGTATTGCCCTGGCCAGGGTCAAGAAGTTCTTGTGATCCCAAGGAAATGATTATGCCAGTTTCCATGTTTATTTGCAAGGCGGCATTTTGTTGTTGCAATAAAATACAAGCAAGCTTGCTAGCATTTCTAAAGCATTTAGCAGCAAGTCACTTACACAACAACCCTTGTAAGGTAGGCTCTCATCAGCTTAAACAGACGGGGTCAGCAGAGCCTCCTCAAAACAGTCTGAACAAGAGCACAAAGGAAAAGGCTAGCTTATATAGATTACATGTTTACAGCAGCACGGTATACAGTAAGCAGACAGCAAAGAATGTTGGAGAGAGATGAGTACAATGAGAGATGAGGTAGAAGGGACACGGACTGTTTACAGAAGTGCCAGGGAACAATGAGGGACAGGGGCCAGAAGGGTCCCTGCCTAGCTGGTCAAGGTCCCATGGTGGAGGTCTCCCCTTCTCTGTGAGGTCAAGACAATGGGGTGTCTGGCAGCAGAGCATAAGCTCATCAACTGCAGATTATGTGAAGGCAGATGGGTACTGTCGGGGCCAATAAGGGGTGGTTTGAGGAAGCAAAACACTGAAGGGTGGTCATCCTTGGACCCATTTTATCAGACCCTGAGACAAGACTGCACAGAGGGAGAAGCTGCTAAGATGCATACGAAAATGTATGACATTTTTCCTATGCTTCCTCCACCCATCCCTTACATTTGATTATCACTCCTTCTGCTAACAAAATCAGGTGGTGAGTACCGACAAGATTGTAGCCCAAATGGGGCCACTGAGAAATTAGAGAGGAATCCATGTTTGGGAGATCCCTGATAGTTGTAGAAATACATTTTTTAAAAACTGAAGGTGCACAAAAACCACATCCAAAAAAACAGTCCAATAATGTCTGAGCATGCTAAGCAACCAAGACAGTGACTGCATATGCCAGTAGAATGAGTACAGTGTGAACATTTAAACCTTGGAAAATAAGTGTGATCACTTCATTAAACAGCTAATAAGCCTCTCGAAATTAAAAATGGCATTTACACTAATTATAGATTGATTTGGTCTAGCTTTCTGAACCATATAAGAAATAATAAATATGGATTTATCAGTAAGTTTCCACTTTCCCTGTATTTAATCCACTTCAGAGGCTACAGAGTCTTTGCTGGGGAATTGATCTATTTGCCCAAAATGCTTTCTTGCCTAGATTTCTCATGTGCTCAAGTCGGCCTTGAATTGTTTGTGAACGCTTGTTTGTCTAATTGTAAGTGATGTTGGGAGTTTGTGGAAGAAAAGGAACTTCACTTTACATTTTGGTTCATCCAAATAACTAGGTTTAGTAAAACTTGTACAACAGCAATTTCAGGTATCCCTGACCTGGGGCTCTGAAGTGGACAACTGGGGACAAGTGTCTCTGCCCCCAAATAAATGCCTCTTGCTTAAACAAAATTCTTATACAGAAAGAAATGGAAACTTCTCCAATTACTATATACATAAATTACAGCAATCACAGATGTACCAATTACTACAGAGTTATCTGCTTCCTTTGATATTAATTTATAACAGTAACAGACTCCCTTTTGTATCAAAACAAAATGTGTGATATAACAGAAATAGACCACATCATGGGTTATCACAGGGATGTGTGATACTACATGAATCTTCTCATTAATGTATACTACTTGTACATACATATGCTCTACTTTTTCACAAGGCAGGTCTAGTTGACCAGAAAAAATATTCAAGATCTGAACATCTGCTTCTGCAGAGTTGTAAGCTGGAATATCCAGAGTGCCATGAGGTACCCATCCCTGCTGTTCAGGAAGTGCTGAGCAAAGTATGGTCTTTGGGATTCAGTTAAAGTCTTGAAAAGCCAGGAGTTCATTTTAAAGGCAATCACTACAAAATCAACAAATTACTTTATTACAGATGTATGGAGAAGTCTGTTCCTCAAAGTACATGTTTTACAATCTCTGGTATCTTCAGGTAGAATAGGACAAGTTCCTGCTGGAAACTCTGCAGAGCATAATGAACTAGATGGGCAATTGGTCTGATTCATTGACATGACATGGCAACTCACCATGTCCAATCAACTATGTTGTGCAAACTCAGTACAGCTTCTGCAGGATGATTTACTTTCACAAACAAGCTACCCAGGGACCCATGCCTTGTTTTAGTGTTATGGATAACCATGATGGCTTATTGTGACATTCAAACCGAATTGAACATCATAATGGGTTGTCTGGAATGGCTAGAGTCAGCTGGCCAGAATAGTGAAAACTTCTCAGTGCCCTCTGCACCATGTTCCTAAAAATAATGAAAACAGTATTCAGAGAGGGTCATGAATGCATCAGGTGCTTCTTTTGTAAAAATTTCAGTCCTGTTTAAGTACAGAGTGAATGAAAGCTGTTAGGAAATTTGTGCAATTAATAGTTTGGCTTGAAAAAAGGTTTGGACTCTTTACTGCCCTGCAATAAGATTTGCATAAATTTCCCCTCCATGTTGATATTCTGACTTAAAAGTATATCATTTTCCCCTCTGTGTTACTGCTTTCTCATGACATTTAGTGATCCCAACCTTTGCTCTGTAACATATGTGTATATGGTACTGCTAGCAACAGAGGGAAGAAAGAAGCAGGGAAAGGGGGGAAATCAAAATGGCTGGAAAGAAGGTACATTGGACTTTAAAAAGGAGGATAAGGGAGAGGTAAAGTGCTGTAGTAGAAGCTTTGGACAAGGGCTACACTTGGCAAACTATTGGAGAGGGAGGCTTAGATTGCCTCTCTTATACAAGAGCAAAAGTGTCTGGTGCCTTGTAAAGCTAGCAAGCATGTTCCTGCATTAATAAGAGCTTGGAAAATAATCTGATGTCATGGGGTGGGCAGAGCAAAACTGTTTGGCAGCTGGAGGAGAAAAGGTGCTTTTTGGACAGATGTTCTTACTAAGTGTGACATGAAAAAGTTATTTGTAAGTGCTTGCTAACAGTGTTCCGTGCACTTTGGCATTGAGTCATGCAGGCCACATGACCACAGAAACTGTCTGCGGACAAACTGGCTCATTTGGCTAAAGAACAGAGATGAGCACCGCCCCCTAGAGTCAGGCATGACTGGAATTAATGTCATGGGAAACCTTTACCTTTAGCAAGATAAACCTTGTGGGAAGGATGAAATTGTCAAGGACATTGATGAAAGTGATATGAGCATGTAATAAATACTGGCAAGTCGGTTTTGCACAACAACACAATCCCCTAGAAAAAAAGTTTACAATGCATTCTTGTACTCATAGTGGTTCTAAAAATGAATTTCATTGGGTGATCGGATGTGGGTGGGAGAGTTTCCCTCACAACAGAAGGGGGCTGACATAGGACAAGGAAACAGAGTTCTGCCACAAGGGCACTTGGGATACATGCAGGAGCTGGGGGGAGAACTGAAGGGAAATGCGGGGGGAATGAGCCACAGCAAGCCAACTTGTTGTCTGTCAAGTTAGCAAGTAAACAACCACTGCATGGGGACTTATTCCCAGGGTGGCTTACCATGATGCGTGAACACCTCCAGTACAAGGAAGTCTGTGTTCCTATGCCAGTAGCAGTGTTCTGTCACTGAGGACACACTTGTGTGTGCTGTGTGATGCCTTTGCTTGGTGTAAGTTGGATAACTATGTAGCAAAGGTGAAATTAGCATGTTGTGAATGTGGGTCATGGATTAAAGTTTACAGAATTGTGGATGAGATTTTCTCTTGAGGTGGTGCATAAGCGGTATTCCTGCAAGAGACGGTCCCTTGATAATGGGCCATATTAATTTATGACTGTACTCTTCCTTCTCCCTCTGTACTTCTTCACAAGTAATTTGGCAATTTATAGATGCTGGAGTATGTCAGACTGCTTGGAAATGTGTAACTTCAGCTACGTGCATTCTAGACAGTAGCTACACCCTGAAAAGCAACAGTACCTTATAAGCTGTTCTTGTGGCCCGTGTTGTTTTCTTCCTCAGCTGTTGCCCTCAAAAGCGCTCAAACAGTAGGACATACTTGTAAAAGCAATATTAAAGGATATGATCAAATAAGGTGGCATCCATGTAGCAATCACCACACAGTTCCTTTTTGTTTCAACATTCATGACTGTAAACAGGCTTTAAAAGAAAGCATTTGGTCACAGGCAAAGCACATTGCTACAGCAGAGTAGAAAAAGGCTTCTGGCCTTACAGATACCAATAAATAACCTCATTGGGCTCAATCTAGATGTTAGGTCATGCATGCAAGTCCAGTCAAGCAAACCAAATAATGTATTAATATTGATTTGCATATTTTATTAGCCCTGTCCCTGCACTCATGCACACCAAACACTCTGACTAGTCCAGTGTTGGGACTGAGCATTCATATGTTTTAACATCATGACTTTTCTGTGTGGTCCTCCCTCTTTACCAATATCAAACTCATGTAAACAACTTGAACAAAGTAGTTCCACTAGCAAAAACCAGCCCAAATTGTTCTGTACTGATGCTATGCTTTAACTCATGCTTCCCAACCTAGCACCCTCGAGATGTGTTGCTTTGCAACTCTCATTATCCCCATGGTTGGGAATGGTGAGGACTGCAGTCCAACACACCCGGGGAAGGACACTACTTGGGGAAGGTTATGCTAACCTGTGACCATGAGTCATTTCAAAAACTGGATAGTGGTGACTTTTCAGCTTCCTTCTGTGGTTCTGATTGTATTAGTGGTTTGGCAGACTAAAAAGCTGCAGATCATGCCACCAATAAACACCCCAGTAACATGTTGAAAAGCGGACACTCTGTAAAATCAGTCACTTCATGCTGAATTGAGAATGTGGCTATAGACGTATGCTTTTGAGTTTGAAGAGCTCTTTGTGTATGTATACCTTTATTAAAGAGAATCACCCAACCCTGAAAAAATATAGTGAATATACTGGTAGTCCCTGGGTTATGAATGCCCAAGTTATGAACAACCTGTACTTACAAACATATGGACTGCCGTAAATCCTATATGAGTATCTCTATAAAAAGCTATGGATATTTCTAGGTACTATGCAACATGTCTGGCAACATGGCATCAGTCGCCCTGTAGTTCCCTAGAGAATACAACATTTACATCTTTTAGTTCTGAACACTGGCTTCAGCCAATGTGTTATGGGACATCACCAATGTGTGTGGGAAACGTAGTTCCCCTGTGGTCTTTCTTTAGAATTTTCACTTGTAACCAGGCCCTTAGCTGCTACAAGGCCATTTATAGTAAGTAAAAGAAAATGGCTGTAGAAAGAAGCCTACTTCAAGAAAGTGACTCCAGCAGCCTAGTCAAACCTTGACTCTCCAGTATCAGGTCCATCTCACCTCCACCTCCATCCTCTCATCCATCATCATTCATATCAGTAAATGTTAGGCTTAATGTTACGTCAAGAATGTTCTGAACTGTTTTAAAAACTGTTTCTTTTATTTGTTTTTTAACAGCACAGTACTCTCTTCAGTACCTGTAGTTACTTTATTATTACTGTATTATTATCATTATTACAATGCTGTACTGTGTTTAAGATGTTCAAGTGAATATGGAAGTGTTCCTTAGGTGTTTTGTATGCATAGAAAGCTAAAATATATACAGATACTAAGACAAACATTTGGCTTACTCATGTGTTCTGACTTACATGCAAATTCGACTTAAGGACATTTTCAGGAATAGAACTTTCCGTAACCCAGAGACTACCTGTACTTCTTGTAGCCCCTGAAACAGGGTGTGTCCTTCCTTCCTAAATTTGCACCCTGCAAATCTGTTGATAAGGTTTTTCTCAGAATGTTGTGTCTGAGAATATAACAAGAGAGAAAAACAGTTTGAGGTGGAAGCCTGCAGGGGCTTGCTGTGATGCACCACAAAAAATAGTATATTTCAAGGGTATTATTTGTGGTTATGAGATTCTGATGTAAAATTCAGAGCAGGATTATTTCCCCATGTTCTTTTCTTTCTCCTCTTGATATATCATGCCTACATCACATCTCAGGGTACTCTTGAAATGTACAAGAAGTATCATCACAGGTTATACTGCCTCTAGGAACTCCTACTATCTCTATTTAAAAGCACCGCTGGGCATCTTATATTTCAGCTTGCATACTGTGATAGTGAGGAACAACAGTCTTTCCTTGTGCCATTAGCCATGTAAAAATATCAACTACCTCGGTCTTACAAAAGAAACTAAAGAACATTGGCATGCTCAGGATATTGTTTAGTTAATGCAAGTTCTAGTAATTCATAATTTTATCTGATGGGGTGAAAGAAAGGAGGTATCAAACCAAGCTTGGACAATGACAAACGTCAGTGAGGAGGAGGAGGCGGCAGCGGCGACAAAATAGAAAGTCAGGAAGGCAATTCACTACTTTTCTTTATTATCACATTCAGGTTTAATTCCTTCACGCAGACATTGAGAAGTTATTAGAAGGGTTCTCTGGAGCAGCATCCAACCGTTCTGCATCTGTGGACACATTTAAAAACCACAAAATGGCTACCCTCCTCCTCCTCCTCCTCTTCTTACATTGCATTTATATCCTGCCTTTTTTTCTCCTGTGAGAAACCCAAGGTGATGTAGATAGTTCCATTTTATCTCACAACAACCACCCTGTGAGCTAGGTTAGGCTGAAAGAGAGTGACTGGCCCAAAGTCACCTGGTGAGCTTCATGGCTGAGTAGGGACTAGAACCCAGATTTCCCGGGTCCCTAGCCCAGTACTCCAACCACCATACCACACTGGTTCTTGTAGTCACATAAGGGCTGTTACTGGGGCCTGGATTTTCAAAAATAAGTTAAAGAGGGGGTTGCAGGGAGAGAAAAATAGGCTGGAGGCTGAGGGGATGGAGAAACAGCACAGCTAGAAGCAGGAAGGCAAAAACAGGAAGGCAAAAACAGGAAGAAAAAGGGGTAGAGAAAGAGCAAGACAAAAGACTAGGAAGTAATAGAAGACTAAGCATTTTTGTAGTTTTTATTGATGTACTGTTTTTTTGGAGGGGGAGAAAGAGAGGAGAGCTTTGTAGCCACTGGTCAAGGTCCCAGTGGGCGTGCTGGTGCCCATGGGCATCCCTTGCTCTAGTGCAGTACAGCCCCTCTGGGGGTGGTGAAAAGATCCAGGGGGCAGTGATTGGTTGTTTTAAATTTGCAGTAGAGCAATAAACCTAATACAAAGAAAGAGGCATGGGTTAGGGTAGTAGCCCAAGGGTGGGGTAGTTAGGGTAGGGTAGTAGCCCAAGAGAAAAGAGTAAAACAGCCCAAATATGTTTGGGGACCACTGATCTATAGCCTAGTGTCACTTTAACTATAGAAAGATTGATGAGCAATTGCATGGTGATGAGGAAAGAATTGCTGCAAATTATGGTGGGACTTCAATGAAGGCACAGAGAATGCTCACAGAATGCTCCCATCAGAAGCTTTCCTCGTATATTCTGCAAGGGTGCTGCAGCCCACCCAAGCACGACATGTACAGCAAACAGGTCTGCTGTAGGAAGGTTTCTGTGTGTACAACTGAACATGCAAAGACTTCCCAGGTGCAGAATCGGGGCAGTGCAAGCTGACACACATGGCAACAAGGGCAGGGCAACTCAGGGGCCACTAACTGTATGAGCAAAACATCTGAAGGAAGCTGAAAGAACTGGAAATACTGGTGCATTTTTTATGTGAAAACACTGAAAATGGTTGCAATGGACGTGCTGTCTGTGGTGAAAGCAAATGTTTATGTGATTATTCTTCCGGTCCACCTTTACTTTTAACATACAGCTTTTACTTCAGATACTGATATCTAATATTTATTCTTGTAATTGTAGGTAAAACTTCTGGCTAAGAAAGAACTACATTCTTCAGCACTCGGTGTTTGAAAATAGGTCAAGCTAGAACCAAGAGAGAAAAAGGCTGGAAGCAGCAGGAGAACTAAGGGAGGTTGCTGAAAGGCACGACTACATTTATCCTCCACTTAGAAAATTCAGGTAAAGAACTACAAGACTACTAACAAAAGCCTAAGCTAGGAGCAACCTTTCATTTCTGACATTTGATCTCACTTTCCAAAAATAAGCAAAATAGGAGAGATGCTGGAGTAAAAGACATTAAAATCTCATTCTATGTCTGCACCTGATTTGACAAGACTAGGGCCTCCTATGTACATTTACTTAGCTGGAAGTAAATCTCATTGAATTCATTTGCACAACACACTCACCCACACTGGTTATGATTTTTGGTGGACTGGCTGTTATGCAAATACCGCACAATACATCTGACAGATAATGGGACCCACCATGTGTTGTTTGCCTCCCCCAAATCCTGTGGATATGCCAGGGGACTCTGTGGCAGGACTGTCTTGCATGCTCCTTTCACCCAGAATGATTGTGAGCTGATTTCAGCCTGCTGGGACTTTTTCCCCTTTAAGCCCCCCACCCCCAAATGGTGAAGTCTGGCTTAACAGTTGGCTTTCCTGATCTCCAGTTTGACAGCCACTGTTAACCCCTTCAGAGTGCTTGAGTGGTACATTGCTGGAGCTGTCAGTGGTTGGCAACATTCTTTTTTATTATTCTTGTGCGCACAATGTACAAAAATATTTTCATTTTGTTTCTCTTGTTAGCTGTCAAAAGGCACAAGTGGTCTTTGTTCATGTGGTGAGGTTTATACCTTTTCTAAGTGAGATTTTGTTTGTTTGTTTATGCTCTGGCAGCTCAACGTGATGCACATTTAGCAATTTTTCCTGAGATGCTAGCTGTTAAGGAAAGTGTAAACATCTTTTCACCCCTTTTTCTGGGGAAAAGGAGTGTTGACAGCTAGGTAACAAAACTTTGGGTCCCCTTTAAAACAGGGCTTTGACAGGGTAATGAGTAGTTTTTGACTTGGAATTGTTCAGAAGCCATAGACAGGGACCTTCAGAAAAAAGAGGGGAGGGGAAAAAGCCATGGCAGGCCAAAAACTGCTTGCAGTTGTAGTGAGGGATGCCCTACCATTGCCAGGCATCCCAAAATGCCAAGTAGCACTTGTGAGGTAGCTGGTATTTGTAGTAACCTGGTCAGGCTTGGCAACTCACTAGTCACTTCCCAGTTGCTACAATGCAGTTGGACACTTGGGTTTAAATGATACAGCAACCCATTGTGGGTACAACGATCCCTAGTACAACTAACAAGTTGTCAGGGTAGCTTTTGCCCATGAACAAGAGATTTTGCAGGAAATGCTCATCACCCACAATGAATTGTCATGTCATGCTACACAAACCAGTCATTGAGTCTTAGCTTCACATAGCCATGCAAAGGTTTGGGCTACACATTTTGCATGGCAGTTACAACACCTTGAAAAACTTCCTCCTTTTCAATATTATTTCTAAACACTTCCTTCAGATTTAACAGCTTTTCTGCAACACATCCAATCACAAAATCCCACAGCTTCCCCATGAACTGTGATCTTACAAAAATAATTCCCACCTCTAAAATAAAAATAAAAAGTTAAAGAGATTAGCAGTGACAAAACATTGCAACAATCTTGACCCTAAGACTGTTGTGCTATGAAGGGTGAATGTGACAATGTAAAGCAAAAACAAGCAGAAAACAGGTCAGAATCTACTGGTAGAATCTTCTTTGGCTAGGATTTCTGACTCTCAAGTGTTTAACAATAGCAAAATGACCCGATTTGTACCACGTCATTAATCCAAAGATTACTACTTGTGTCTAAGTCTCTGAATGAAAGCTCACTTTCTAAATATGATAATTGAAAAACAGCCCTGGCTCTTTTTTCTTTTTCCTGCCCCTTCTCTTTGGTCTTTAACATAAAAGGGTGACACTCTTCTATCTAAACTTGAGTAAAATTGTTCCCTTAAAGTGCAGTCCTATCCAAGTTTAAACAGAAACAGAGTGGAGCATGCTGGGAGTTGTAGGCCTTTTTTCTGTCTAAATGTGCATAGGATTGCACCCTTTGTGACATAATTTACTTTAGCCTTACCTTCAAGCAGATTATTATGATCATTTTTCCCACATGAGAGACAAAAGATAACAAATTGTTCTGGTTTCTTCCATGTTAAACTATACACAGAGCACAGCTAATCACAGTGAGTCATTGACAATTTTAATGAAATTGGCTTGCTTTTTTTTCTTCTAGGTCATGACCATCCTAGGTCCATGGCTACTGAGAATGAAACCCTTAACATGACATCAGGGCTGCATTCACTGACAGACCATCATAACACTGGGAATGCTTTTTTGATCATAACATACACAATAGTGTTCATTGGAGGTGTGACTGGAGCCATCACAATGTCATTTTTGCTACTGAAAATGAATACATTATCAGTGACCACAACAGCGATCATAAATCTGGTAGTGATCCACAGTCTCTTTCTTATAACTGTGCCTTTTCGGCTATATTACTACAGCACAGACAAGTGGATCTTTGGATTTTTCTTTTGCAGATTTGTAAGCATAATGGTCCATTTGCACATGTACCTCACCTTTCTATTTTATGTGATTGTTTTGGTTATCAGAGGCCTTATTTTTTTCCAATGGAAGGACAAGGTGGAGTTCTACAGAAATTTGCATGCTGTAGCTACTAGCACAGCTGTGTGGATCCTGGCTTTGCTTACCATAGTACCAGTAATGTTGCTTTGGTATGGACAATCGGGGGATTACCATGACAGTAAATGTTTTACATTTCAGCAGGAGTTCAAGATGGACTCAGTGAAAGCAGTGAACTACACTATCATTGCTGTAGTGCTTATTATAACTTTAATCCTTTTGGGCTTGCAAACTTTCATAGTCCTAAAGGTGGTGAGAAAGGTATCGGGATCTGTATGGTCACATCAAGAATTTCGAGCACAGCTGAAAAGCATGTGTTTTGTATGTGTCATCATTTTTTGCTTCCTTCCTCATCACATTTTTCGGATTTATTACATCCAGTATGTGAATAATAAGCAGTATTCTGAGTCTCATATATACAATGAAATCTGTTTAAGCATAACTTCCATCAGCTGCCTTGATTTGTTTTCATTTGGGATATTTGGAAACAAACTCTTGAGGCAAAAAATCTGTTCATGTTCATGTTGTTAATGTTTTTTGTGTACTTTTGTAAGACAATCTTCTACCTAGTAATGATGTCACCTATACACCTTTAAACATTTCAGAGTGAAATGTAGATGTTATAAATTCTATGTATACTATTTTTTAACATTCTGAGGAAAAAGATGGAGAACTCCCAAAAGATACCCAGCAACCATTTTAGCAACTGCTGGAGGAGATTAGATTGAGATGTCACCAGTATGTGGATGATACTCAACTTATCATCCCCATTCCCCCAAATCCAGTGAGCTGTTGGGTGTTCTGAATCTGGCCCTGGGTGTGGAATGGACTGGAAGAGAGTCAATATACTCAGTCCAAATAAGACAAATGTACTGTTAGTGGGTGGTTTGTCTGCTGAATTATGTTGAAACTATTCTGAAGTAGGGTGCACACTCCCTAAAGCAGAGGTGAGCAATTTTGAGAGGCTGGGGAACACATTGTTCCATCTTAGACCACAACAGAAACCGCTGCACCGGCAATTTTGGATGGTACAATACCAAGGGGAAAAAAGCTTCCTCTTGACAGCCAATTTTGGCAGTCTAACCACAACAACAAGCAGCATGACATTTATAGGCTATTAGCTTTGAAATAACCCCCCCCCTTTTTTTTTGGCTGCTGCACCACCAAAGTTTGGGGACATGCCATTGAAATTGATGCCACTGTACTACCAAATCTAGGGGCAAATTCAGCAGCACAGAAGCAAGGATTGCATGCAAAAAAGGATAAGGGAGGCTTTATGTGGCCTGCGGGCTTCATATTACCCACTTCTGCCCTAATGGATTGGGTTTGTAGTTTGGTGGGGCTCTTGGGTCCAGCATTGTCACTGGTGGCCTCTGTTTTATGTTTCTGTAGCACAGAGCACCTTTTATCAGCTTGAACAAATATACCATCTAAAACCCTATCTGAATGGAGTGAGACTAGCTTCAGTTATCCATGGTTTGGTATTCTCTTATTTAGATCACTAATGCGTTATATGTAGGGCTACCTTTGAAAATGGTCTGCAAACCATCCAAAATAGCGCAGTGAGATTGTTAAGAGGGGAATAGCGGATATGACTATATTACCTCTGTGCTCTGTGATATGCACTGACTTCTGGTCTGTCATCAGGCACAATCAAAGTGCTGGTGTTAACTTTCAGAGCCCTAAATGGCTTGGAGCCAGGTCACCTGAAGGATTGTTTCCTTCTATCTATATCTACCTGGATTCTAAGATCATCCTCAAAGATCATGCTCCAGGTGTCCCCAACAAAGGAGGTGAAGTGGATGGTGACTAAGTTGAAGGCCTTTCCAGAGAGGTCTCCTATATTGTGGGCTTTTCAACATCATGCTTTTTCCTGGCAGATCCTTTTTAGTTCTTCAGTTTAAAAAAATGGCAATGTATTCGTTGATCTTTTACTATTGCCAGTTTTTACTTTTAGTTGTGTTATGATATATTTTATAATGTTTTTGGATGTTATGGCTTTAAGATTTGTTTTGCAGACCACTCTAAAAGCTTCTGCTGGTGAGCAGTTTAGAGATGTAAGAAATAAATGAACTTCATCACAGCTAAAGAGCTATATATTGCTCCTGTTTCGAAGCATAATGTGAAGCACAAATTTTAGTTTGTATAGGAATGTATAAGTAAAATCATCATCATCATCATCCTATGAAATCATTAAAAGTTTGACAGTGAATCTAACTACATGTCTGCCAATGCTCTCATTTATACGATTTAAGATCTAGATAGCAGGAAAGGTTTCCTCAGCGTCAGAGCAATATGGCAGTGGAACCAGTTGCCTAGAGAGGTCATGGGCTCTCTCACATTACAGACATTCAAAAAGAAAGTGGACAGTCATCTGAGCAGGATGGTGCAAATTGGTGACCTGCAAGAGCAGGGCACTGGACCCGACAGCCTTCTTGGCCCTTTTCCAACTCTACTGTTCTATGATTCTATAACAAATGCCTATGGTCTTTCAATTACTACACTTAGCAGTTTATTCACATAATCAGGCAGAAGGTATGCAATAACTTCAACATGCTTTGCATCCAAAAGTACATTTTCAGTCCTTCTGTGGCATACCTATATACTTCCCTTGAAGAAATGGAAAAGATGTTACTTGCTTAGGAACCTACATTCTGTGAAATCCCCTTTAGACTAAACAAAGGTCCAAATGTGAAGTTAGTCTGCCTACTGCTGTGCTGAAAGTGTCTTCCACATTTTTTCAGCTTTTCTCATACAATTCAATAGAGAATAAATCAAATTTCTTTTTGAAAATGAAGGTGAAGAAAATTGAGCAAAAATTCTTGTGGTTTGGGTTTAGGGTTTAGATGCTTACATTGCACTGCACCTTGATTAACACTAGATCCACTATGCTGATGGAAGTGGAACCCAGCCTCTCCTTCCCATGGCAGCCCCTACAGCCCCATGAAAATGCTACAGTGAGAGCCAAGAGACCCTGCTAAATAAGGTTGAGCCTGGGAGAAGGAATCCCCAAAACAGGGCAAAGGAGCCTTCTGTATACCCTTCCATATGCCTTTTTCTCTCAGAAAATTAATCCTGGATCAAGGCCTTACTTATGAGGTAGCCAGGCAGTGTTTAGGACTGTTCTGCCCTGTCATCTCTTTGGCTGCCCACAACCTCCTTAGCTTCCCGCATTTCAGTGAAAGCCAAAAGGAAGACATCATGGGGAATTCCTCCCATATGGCTTTTTAAACTCAGGAAGCTCAGGCAGCCTGGAAGAGCAATGGAAAGATTCATACTAAAAATAAAATATATACCCAGAGCACCCTCAGCCTCCTCACAGTGATTATGGATGCTCAAAACAGCCCAAAAGAGATATGAAATCTCCTGAAAATGAAGCAGAAAAAATGGATCCCTCCTTCAATGGGGGAAGAAAACTTTCAGAAAATTGGAGGACAAGTTTTGAGACAGGACAAGCTCCACTTCTTCCCTGGAGCTGGGCACAACCTCAGTGCTCAGATTTGCTACAGTGCTTTGGGGGAACTATTATTGGCGCTAGCATTAGAAAGAAGATGAATCCAGAAATGGCCCTCAGAAATATAACATCTGCAAGTTCCCAGGGACGGTGCTGAACTCTGAAGCAGGACTACTATAGATGAGCCAAAAAAAGACAAGACAATCTCAGAAAAGTTCTGAAATTTCTTTCTTATTCCTCTAGAAATAAAAGATTATTCTGCAAAATTTCCCGGGCATTTTCTTCATTTTATTTATTTATTTTTTATTTATTAAAACATTTTTATGCCGCCCCATTCGCCGAAGCCTCGGGGCGGCTTACAACACTAGATAAAACAATAAGTTAAAATATCCATATAAAATAATCATAATTTAAAACACACATTATAAAATAAGCCGCCCTGGCCAGATAAAATTCAATTGTGTTAGCATTTAAAATGTTGCTTAAATAAAAAGGTCTTTGCCTGGTGCCGAAAAACAAATAATGACGGCACCAGGCAGACCTCTCTGGGGAGCGCATTCCATAACTTAGGCGCCACCGCTGAGAAAGCCCTTCTGCGAGTAGCCACCCTCCTAATTTCTCTCACGGAGGGCTCCCGGAGAAGGGCCTCTCCTGCCGATCTCAGGGGGCGACTGGGCAAATATGGATGTAAGCGCTCCTCCTGATTTAATTTAATCAGGTCCTATCACAGATTGGGAGAGGTCCAGGCCACTTCCACTTTTTGAGGCTGCCCTGGTATATTGAAAATTGAAGAAATGCCAAAAAAGGGTCACAAAAATTGTTAATATTTTAAATGTTTATATTAGCAAATGAGTGCATTTCACACAAAACAAACTATTGAACACTTTGTAATTCTTAAAAACTTTATTTAACAAGTGCTCTTTAGGGTTTTTTTCCTATATAAATTCACTAATTATGGTGGTGGGAGGACTGGTTTTCTTGCAGTGTCATAGTTTATGTTAATCATAGCAAGGCCATTCATAGGATCTTGCCCCATCGCTGAATGGTAGTAATTTTTGGCCTGCTTCAACACACTAAAATTTGAGGCCCTGCATGAATTTGAGACCTGGCCAAAAAGGCCCTCCTGCCACCTCTTGATAGGCCCTAAATTTGATTGGGAGTGAGCTTCTTTTTGGAGCAATATTAGATTTGGACCATTGTGGAGAATGCAAAATAGAGGTGAAACTATTTCTCCTTGCAGCAGTAGCCTAAAAAACCCAAAACCTCTTAGTGAAACAGATGCTGTGCAAAAACTTGCCAATGGTGAGCCCTTCCTGTGAGAAACTATTGGACAACATCTCCTGCCACTGTCTACTAATTTCTTTCCTCACCTTAGCATAGCATGTAGAGTAGAAGGGGGAAATTGTGCCACTCCATTTGTCTTTGGACTACAACTGAATTGCATGACATACTGTAAATATGTATAAGCTGCCTTTCCAGACCAAATCCACCTAAAGCAGTGAACATGCTAGTTTAAAAATGCAGCAATACAGTCATATTAAAATTAAAAATATCAAAACCAATCCATATCAAAAATATCAAAACCAATTGTGTAATAGATAGTACACAAAACTTTCTCAGAGCCATAACCAGTGTGGTATAGTGGGTCTGGGACTTAGGTGATCTGGTTTCTAGTTCCCCACTCAGCCTGGGAGCCAACTGGGTGACTTTGGGCCAGTCACAGGCACTCAGCCCAACCTACCTCACAGGGTTGTGGAGATAAGATGGAGAGCAGCAGGAGAATGATGTAAGCCACTTTCGAGTTCTTTAAAAAAGGAAAAGGCAAGATATAAATTAAATAACAATAAAATATTTATTTGAAATAGTTGAGTTTTCAAAGCATATTTAAAACTGCAAGGGAAGGAATCAACAATTAATTGGGAGGCTGTTCCAATACAAGGCCACTGCTGAGAAGGCCCTGTTGCTAGTGCTTGCCAGTCTCACTGCATTTCAAGATGGGGCAGTGAGTAAGGCCTCCAGTAGTTCTGTTAAACCACAAGTAGGTTCATATGGTACAGATAATTTTTCAAATACTCAGAGCTTTAATGGCCAAAACCAGGATTTTGAATTAGGCCTAGAGACACACTGCTAATCAATGCTAGAGCTACAAAATCTGTGTAATGTGTTCTGATTACTTGACCTGTAGAAACAGTTGAGCAACTACAGACCAGTTTCAAAGGCATGTAGCATACATTATAATAGTCTAATTCTGGATGTAACTAGGATATGTGTGACTAATACTAAATCTGCCTTCTTTGGTTAGGATTACATCTGGCAACACAGACTAAGGTGATAACAGAGTATTTTCAACCTGCAATTCTGCAGACAGCTCTGAATCCAAAAGAACCCGCAAACTGTGGCCTTGGTGCAGGGAGTACAACCCCACCCAGAACTGGTTGCATCCCTCTGCCTAGATCTGTTAGTTTTCCTACCCAAAGTATTTCCATTTTATCTGTATTAAACTTCAATTTGTTCATCTTCTATCTGTGTTCATGTTGATTCTACAGTCTCCCTAGTTTTGCAGGCAAATGAAAGAGGAAGAGCTGCATGCCATCAGCATTCTCTCTAGTAGTTTCATTTGGATGTTGAAGAGCATGGGAGAAAAGATTGAGCCCTCTGGCACCTTGTATACCGGATATCCTACAGTATGTTCTAACAGTTCACTCTAGAAAGACCAGAGCTATGGATCAGAAGAACACCCCCTCTTCTCCTCCGTCTCTCTCCTTCTTTTCCAGAGAAATGATTCAACAGTTTCCCTTCATTTCGCAAGTCAGCTGATACAGAGAGATAAATCCTTGCATAACCTTCGGTTTTCCTTCTGAGTGGTCCATATCCCAATTATTCTCTTTGCTTCTCTTTTCTGATTCTTCCCCATTCCAAATTCTTTGGAACTCCCTCTTGCTTTGTAGCTGTATCTTGATCTTTTATGCTTCTTCCAAAATTGCTGCATTTCCTCTAACATCCCTCTCCAAAAATCTCAAATAATCCCCTACAACAGTCTGTTTCTCCCCCATTCAAATATCCCAGGTAGAAACGTATTTCTTTCCCACAACTCTCTTCCCCATAATCACATACAATAATGTTGTTTGTTTCCCCAAACTTGGGTTTGTCATGTGCTGAATCAAGTGGCTGGTCCAGGGTTTCTGGACCAGGGATTTCTGGGCAGGAGTTAGCCCAGTCGGCCAGGGGAGGTGGGCAATCTCAGCTTGTCGAGCTGGCACTCAACATGTAAACAACCCACATGTTCACGAGCAATAAAACTAGAGTCCTTTATTGCTACTTGTTTACAAGATTTACAACTCAATAGATAAGCTCTTTAGCTGAGGTCTTTGAAATGCAGATATTAATCTTCTAGTGGTGTCTCTCCCGGAGCCCACGTGGGACTAGCTCTCTCGGTCACGCCTTTCTTCTCTCTCACATAACAAGCTCTGCTTTTGCTCGTATCTTCTTAGAATTCTGCGATTGGTCGCTAGAGAAAGTCAACCACGCCCCCTGCGTCTCCTGTGTCGTGTTCAGGAAGTTCAGCATCAGTGGGAGGAGGGGCAGCCTGCTCCGACTCTTCCTGAGTAGAACTTGCGGGGTCTTTTCCCTCAGGGCTCTCTTGCTTTGATGTGGGCTCAGGTGTTTGCTCAATGGGCAGGGAGTCAGGGGGAGGTGCGGCTATCTGCTCAGCCACCCCCAAGCTAGGTTGCGGGGTTGGCTTTTGGATACAGGGTCCCAAGTG